CCTGTTGCTTTACTGTCTCTATGTATGTGACAGCTTCTTTCTATGAGGGCTTTTTTCTTGAGCTCAAATCCCAAGGCTGGTAGCAAACATTATAAACCATAGCATCAGCAACCATGATGAAGAAAAGAGAAGATTCCTGACGAATAGACAACATCCTTTGATTTTCTTAGGAAGAAGGGACACGGTTACACTAAAGTTCTTCACAGGTTCTTTTGACCCAGAGGGTGGCATTTTCACTCAGGAGAAGGTGAACTCCCGTGCCCTACATTTCTCTGTTTGTATTTTATTTGTGACTCATTCTTTCCATCTTCCATCTTCCAGATGAGGAACTTAGGTACTAGTAGGGTTAGTAAGTCTCAAGGAAAAAGTGGAATTTGAAACCTCTGTTCAACTGCTTATTAAGATAGAGTCTCTGTTAATCTTCATTTTTATATTCCTCCTGGATGTGAGATCAGAAGGTACTGCAGACACACTGGAGGATTCCAGCACAGAGGCAGGAAGCCCACTGAGATTTCGGGGTGCCAGCTCACGGGCGCAATTTGGATTGGCCCTCCCCTCAGCTGGCGGTCCCTGGTACAAAGAATTCAGATTTAATGGCCTAGGTGGACCATCTTGCTTCCTGCTCTCAAAGTGCTTGGGATGCAGGCAATAAACATCACCAGGTAGGCTCTTAACCGTGGGCTCCCAATTAGCGTGAGGTATACAGGCATTTTTTCCCCCCCCATCTCTGGAAGAAACAGAAGGGAGGTTCAGAGGAATCCGTGAGCTTCTCGGAAGTCTATCCATCCAAGATGTTTGGAGGAAGAGCTTCTCTCTGGGGACAGGCCTAGATCAGCTCTGGCACATGTGCTGTTTATAGTCTGAGAAAGAAAAGCCAGGACGTAACGGCTAAGAATGTAACTGAACCTTGTTAGAAATCAATACGGTGAATGGAATTGAGCTGGGAGATGACGCTCCAGCCAACTGGGCCTGGGATGTGGGAATTTTTGTTCATCAGCTCCCAGTCTAGTTTTGTTCAGCGATAATGCAGTAGCCATTCTGCATGCTGATTGGCTAGGGGAGGTTCTCTTCTCCGACAATGAGAAGATAATCAATCATGTTACTGGCTTTTGTCTTGGCGAAGGTATTTAGGTTTCAGCCAGCTGGTTAGCTGCCTCAAGGCCACCTGCTTGACTGAAAAATAAAGAATCAGTTTCTTTCACTTTGCAAGAAGGGGGACGTATTGACTTGTGTGATAATTTTAGGTGGATGATTAAATTTGGCCTCTTAGGCTCCAGCTGAAAATTCAATTCAGATGACTGGTTTTTCTTTTCATACACCATTGAGCAATCCCACGTGCTGCCATGGCTAATGTCCCTGATGCTGATTGTCCCTTCACTTTAACAAAGCACAGAATCTCTAGCCCACTCTCTATTTCCTGTGCCTCCCAGCTACAGGGACACAATGAGGAAACGCACTCTTTCTGCTTATGTTAAGGATACTACTCTATGCAGCCATGCTCAGAGGCTCTCCCAAGTAACTGAATTGCTCCGTAGGAGGATTCTTCTGATGGTAATTGATGAAATAAGTCAGTTTCCCCTGGTGCATTTTGCACGTTCAGTGCAATCAGTCCTACTTCTGGTGCCACTTGGCTGATACATCACTATTTTAGATGCCAAAGTTGTGAACAGGTTCAATGTGTATGATCTAGCCCAAAATAGGATAGTCATTTTTGACTTCCTCATTCTCCACATCCAACCCATCAGCAAATTCTGCCCTTCTATCTCCAAAACATTTCTCCAAAATTCCCACTTCTCTCCATGTTTACTAATCACCCCTTCCCTCTCCTCACCCCACCGGTAAAAGCATCCATCCTCTCTTACCTGGGCCACTGCAATCCCCTCCCAAGTGGCCTCTCTGCTTCCATTTTTGCCTCCAGAAAAGAATTCTCTGCACACCAGTAAGAGTACAATTTAAAAAAAAAATGAGGTCACAAAGGTCCCTTTATTAAAACCTTCTGATAGCTGCCCATAATTATCAGGTTCCAATGAAGCTCTCTGACCGTGTCTTCAGTACCTGGTGAGGTCTGGCCTCTGCCTGCCTCTCTCTTCCTCTCCATCACACTGCTCTTGCCATGTCTTGACAGCTTCAAGTTCCCTTCCATTTTAGGGCCTTTGAAGTAAGTATTCCCTGTGCCGGGAATGTTCTTCCCCCAGCCAAGCAAGGTCTTCGCAGGGTGTCATCATTTTTATTCTGTTTTCAATTTCAATGTCAACTTCTCAGATAATCTTTCTTGACTATTAAAATTTAAGTAGTTTAGACCTTTTGGGTTATGTTATCCTGTTTTGTTTTTGAAATAGCACTAACCACTACCATGCATTTTCTCTTGTTTGTTTGTTTATTGCCTGTCTCCTTTACCAGAAGCTGAGATTGGTTACAATATGGACTATTGTCTGTTGTGTTCAGAGTATGTCTAGTGCCTAGAATAGGGTCTTGTATGGAGCAGGTGCCCAGTAAATGGTTATCTAGTAAATGAATAAACAAAGCCTGGCAAGGACATTTCCTAAGTGATACAGGAGCAGGATGCTTTAGGTGTGGCCCTATCCAAAGTTAGGGGATGAGAGCCTGGCTGAGTAGCTCAGTTGGTTAGAGCATCATCCAGATATACCAAGGTTTTAACTTTGATCCCCAGTCAGGGCACATATAAAAATCAACCAATGAATGCAAAAAGAAATGGAACAACACATTGATGTTCCTCTTTTTTCCTTTCTCTCTCTCTAAAAAACCAGTTTTTTAAAAGAGGATGAGACTGAATGACTTGTCACAGGTTTATTTTTGACTCAGATTTTGAGCCTCTAAGTTAACAGGTATTTTCTGAGGCCTAATGTATGTGGTGCTATTAAGTGGACTCAAATAATGACAACTTCTTATCTTGAGGAGGTAGGAGACTGACCTCATTCTCAGCTGATCTGATCAACTGAAAAGCAAAATGTGCCATTAATTTTAGGATCCATTATATGTGACATTTTTTGTTTTGCTAAAGATTAGGGCCCAATAGGAGAATCGGAGAGCTCACTAAGCATTGTATCTTTATTCACGTTTGGAAATTAGTTGGTACTGGGGACAGTCCGTGCACTCACCCTGATTTGGGGTCTAGGTCTTATTTGCCCAGGAAGGGCCGGTGCCTGTGCCATGTCTCCGTGTCTGAAATCTCTTATTCATGCATGCACAAAGGGCAGGCATGAGTCACACAGGATGAATCCCTGAGCCTCACAGACAGGAGAAGAATGTAGAGTCGTGATACTGAAACCATTTCTCAGCCTGAGTTGTCAGTGCTGGGACCCACTTCAGCACATTTCTGAAATGAACTCTGCTAAGGCGAGGTCGGTGACACCATAAAGAAGAATTTTGTAATTAAAAAAGCTTAAAGGGATCACTGGCAAGATGGCCTTTCTTTTTTCTTTCTTTCTTCTTCTTCTTCTTCTTTTTTTTTTTTTTTTAAACCAAGTCACTTAAAGAAGTAAACTTGATAGAAATACTTCCTTACATCAGTTTTGCCCATCAGTCAAAGTGACGGGAGCCAGACTGAGCAGAGACACCCCTTAAGGAACTCTAAGGGGCGGGCTTAAAGCTTGCCTTCGCCTGGGAAGCCATTTATCACCTGATGAAGGCATCTATTGGGTGACTTCAGTGATCCTTAAAGTTTGGTCAGCAGGATTAGAAATAAGATAAAGATAATACAGCTCATTCGGAAAGTTCTACCTTTTATGAACAGCTATGAGCCTCACTATTTTAATTTACCAGATGGATACTAGCGATTTAAAATATTTTGATAGAAGGGACCTATGTAATACTTTCAATAATAAAATTAAAATAAATATTATGATAAATGAAAACAACCTCCTCCATCAGATCACACAACATTTAATGTATATTTTACTGCAGTGGACCCATTGGGGCTTCAGAAGTTACATCTGACTGGCTGATTAATAAATCAGCCCAAATATCCCAAATCAGCCCTGGCCAGTGTTTCTCAGTGGTGAGAGTGCTGGCCCTTGAACTGAAGGGTGGCAGGTTTGATTCCCGGACAAGGGCATGTACTTGCGTTGCAGGTTCAATTCCCCAGCCCCAGTCAGAGCACGGCAGAGGCAACCCATCGATGTGTCTCTATCACACATTGATGTTTCTTTCTCTTTCTCCCTCTCTTCTTCCTTCCACTCTCTCTAAAAAACAACCAATGGAAAAAGTATCCTTGGGCGAGGATTAACAACTACAACCAAAATCAGAGACAACAAAATGAATGAAGAAGGAGCAAGAGTCAGAGCATCTGCCGCTGGGTGTCCTGAGGGGAAGCACTGCTTTTCATGGGCCATCTGTAGCCATAAGTGGCTGGAGGAGTTGACTTGAATTCAGCCTCTCTCTAGAGTGGAAGGCAGTTAGGGTCCCTAATGAGAGAGTATCCCAAGGGAGGAATTTTAAATCAGAAACTTGGCTAGTTCTTTCTGATAGTTGTTTGGAATGACTAGGACACACATATCCTCACAGAGCAAAAATGGCCACATAGCTCTGAGGGGCAGAGGAGAAGGCTCTGAGAGCATACGAATTAGAGGATCTCAGAGGGCTTCCGACCTGAACTCCTCCCTCCTTCTGCCAACAAAGGAAATGAGCTCTGAAAGGGTTCAATGACATACTGAGTGACACACAGAGAGTTCAGGACTAAGTGAGGGCTGTGACCCCAGTGTGGTGACTCATAGTCTTTCTAGACAGAATGGAAAATTAGAAAAACAATATTTTAAATTATTTTTCCCAGTTTCATTGAGGAACAATTGGCATATAAGCAACAATATGTCACTGTGTAAGTTTAAGGCATATAAGCACGATGGTTTAATTTTCATATGTTGTGAAATGATTATCACAGTAGGTTCAGCTAACATTCATCTCGTATAGATACAATATAAAGAAAGGAAAGGAGAAAAGAAAAAAAAATAATTTTCTCCTGGTGATGAGAGCTCTTAGGATTTACAAATGACAGTTTGATACCTTGAAGTAGGTGGCACTGCTATAATTGTCTGCATGTTGTGGGACCCTAGAGACTATCCCATCCTTGTCGAGGGGTGCGCTAACTGTCTCTCCTTTCATACAACACTACATTATTATTTCTGATGCTTATTTTATTGTCTCTTAAGAGCTGTCTTTCTACAACGAGGTAATGGAAGAGCTGCAGTGCCTGAGTTTGAACACAGGAGACCAGCCTGAGGATTTTCTGCAGAGAGGCACAGGAACATATTTGATGATGGAGGAGACTAGGGTGAGGCTGAAGATGCAGTTGGTCTTTAATATTGAGACCTTTCTTCTTTTAAGGCTGTGAGGGGAGACCAGAAGCAGATAAAGAGATGAGGGAGGCAGGGATTCTCCTCTGGAGAGTCCATGTTTTTTTTAAAAAAAATATTTTTATTGATTTCAGAGAGGAAAGGAGAGGGAGAGAGAGATAGAAACATCAATGATGAGAGAGAATCATTGATCAGCTGCCTCCTGTATGCCCCACACTAGAGGGGAGCCCGAAACCTGGGCATGTGCCCTGACTGGGAATTAAACTTTGACCTCCTGGTTTATAGGTTGACGCTCAGCCACTGAGCCACGCTGGCCAAGCTGGAGAGTCCATGTTAATGATAAATGAAAAACCTCTCTCACACACAAACATGCACACATCGTGAGTGATAGACAGAAAATTAATAATTCTTGCTTGGGCTGATTCTTTTTAAGAAGTTAATCTAAAAATGATTGCTATGACTGACTTGTGGATTTAGGTAGGGAGAGAAAATTGTTTCCATTTTCTTGTTTAACTTCCAGAGTTTTTAGGACTATTTTAATGCAATTCCTTGCCTACCCAATATAGATTGTGGGGGACTAGCTATATTTCATGGAGACATGAGATCACTATCCCCCTCCCTTTCTTTCTCTTACAAACCGATTTCGAAATGTTGAATACATCCCAAGACTAGGGTCTATAAAGTGGCCTTAACAATTTTACCAGAACTACCTACTAACCATATATCTTTAAGGCATCTTTAAGGTAGCAGCACAATACAAATAATAAAAAAAATCTGTCAACTCTGTGTTCCAGTCATGTTTGGTGGCTCAGTGGACAATGTGTACATTTTGTAAATTTTCTTCCAATATTATTTTGGCTTAGCCTGTTAGGAAATGCCAGGGAAAGAATAATGGGTGCTTTACAATCACCATAAAAAATACCCAGAATCCTTTTGTTTCACATTGGTTGTGATGACAAGCCTCCATTCCTGCTCCAGATGCTGTTCCCACCAGGAGTTCAGGACTAAGCGCTATAGCTAAAATAATGCTCTTCTCAGGTTTATAATCACGGAAAACACCAGAGATCCCAGAAATAGTCAGTTCAGGTTTATCTGAGGTTTGAACAGCCAGAGAGCCCCCGTCAGCGGAGTGAAATTCAAAAAGTGATGAGCCTGTGATGAACCACTTTCCTAGTTGTCACCCACAGCTTGGAAGTCCTGGAGGCTGGGTGGGTAGTCAAAGAGCGACCCCTTTCTGTCCGGCCTTTGCATTCAATTTCTTTCATTTGATCTTCTAATTTTCTAAAAACACAAGTCCAGATTACTGAACCTTAGCAAGAGTATAGGATGGGCAGAGACATTGACGTTCTGGCCATGTGTAAATGTGGACCAAGGGAAAAAAGTCCCGCCCTATCCTGTATCCTGCAGTGGCCACAGGGATGGTGGAAGTCCCTTCTTTAAAGCGAAGCTACGCGCTGTGAAAGGGGAAAGGAAGTGTCTTGCCTACCTGTCTTACCATCCCAGTTCTATCACACAAAAGTAATGCTCCCCGAGGGTGACCAAGGGTTAAATTCCAGCTCCTGAGGTGGCTGCAGTGACTGCTTCCCTGGTCTAATTACCCACCTAGAGCCCTGGGAGCCCAGTCTGGGCGGGAGGCCCTGCCCTACTTGCCTGCAGGGTGAGGTGGGAGCAGGGCTTATTTAAAATCCCAGACACAGCCCTCTCCTCTGCAGTTGTTATTTCCCACCCTCACCTCTGGACACTTCAGCACACTCACTGGAAACATCATCACAGGAGAACGCGGCTTTGACAGCAACCTCGCTGAAATTATTTATTTTCCCTTTTCTGGCTTGCACTTGAATACTTCTCCATCAACAGCACGTCTGATTGAGCTGGCACCACAAACCCTTTCGTATGCTTTTTTTTTTTTTTTTTTTCCTTCAAGAAATATTAAAGTCTGAATCAAATTGGAATAGTGGCCCTGTAATGATCTCATTATCTATAAATACAGAAGCGCTGGCAGGGGAGATAATGACTCCAAGACACAGGTATGCAGCGAGGCCCTATTATCTTCCCAGGAGCAGCCCCCAGTCTGCCCTCCCCCAGTTCCCCCTCGACATCCCTTCAGTGCAGGGTTCAAGCTGCAGAAGACGGATGGCTGATTGAGACTGGGAGGCAGGCTTTCTCTCCCCGTCATGACATATGTTAGGAGATGAAAGGAACCTGGGCGGTGTGTTTACTCTTCCTTCGGGAGCTTCACATGTTTGGATTCATCGGAAAGACGGAAAGACGGGAAGGCAGAAGGAGAGACATTTGGTGCTGGCTGAAACCATAGCCATTCTCAGTGTGAAGTCTCCTCGTTTGGTGAGGATAATTGTGATGAGGCAGCTCTGGGGAGAGATGCTACTAAAAGATTTTAAAAAATAACAGGCTAGCCACCCTATTTGAGTTCTTACAGAGCAAAAGGGCACCCCCAGATGGGAGCAGTAGGGTGGGGTCTGGGGTGGGAAAGGCCCTCTGAACTTGGCCTAGTTATGAGCCCCCCTGCATCTTCTCTGGCTGCCAAGGCATCCGCGATGAGCTTAGCAGCTCACAGAAGGCCACATATTGGCTTAGATTTCCAATATGGGCAAAGCAACCCAGGCAAAATATTACTTCCTGTGATTAGCAGAAAAAAAAAGACATTGGGTAGGAGAGAGGATAGACCACAATTGCTCTCAATGTCTCTGTTAGGTTCTAAAGGGGCATTTATTGGAGAGGGGCTGCCATCTGCCATCTTAGACCACAGAGAGGTGGCGCGGAGGGAAAATGCTGGGCTGTTCTTTTGGCATGGGGTTATAAGGTTTATTTTTCCCTTCTGATGTCCACTGTAGGCACTATCAAATACAGAATAACGTTGTAGGCATTGTTATTGGACAAAGGGATGAATGAGTAGCAACAATATTTTGCCCCTAGTTAAAAGTCTCTTATGCGATGTAGATGGTTGAGCAATGACAATACTGTTGAGCAATGATAATAAATTCCTACTGACTCAGAGAGTATGGCTATAAAAGTCTAAAGAAGCAAGGGTTAGTCACATTGGGCAGAGGGCCTGTGTCACCTGAGGGGAGCCCCTGCTACCAGGTGGGACCATTCCAGTTATGGGGACAAGCAGGACAATAGTCCTTGGCCACAATGGGATCCACACTACACATGTGCTGTTTGACACTGCTTTTCCTTTGTTTATAATCTGTGGACATTTGTAATGCTTTAGCCCTAGCGAAAGAATCTTCTTCCTCTCCCTCCAGTGCTGCAGGTACTGGTGGGATTCGGACAGATGTTTTCCCCACTTCTGCTCTGACTTCTTTGGGTGATGGCAACTGAATAGGAATGTAATTGTTTGCGGAAATTGACCCTCACAAGTCAGGGAAGTGGATAATATATCACAGATCACGACTTGATGTTCAGTGGGAGAAGGATTGGTTTGTGGCTACAGATGTCTGGAGGCTCTGGAGGCAGGAAATTTACCTGAGAGACCAGAAGTCTCTGAAGGAATCCCTTATTTCCTCAGCCCTTTTGCATTTATTTAACTAGTTTATTGGTGACTTCTGGATGCAGCCTGCATTGTTTGGGAAAACACAGAAATGTGAGTCACAAGACAAGCCACCTCTAATTTAGGAGGTTGATAAGAGTAGAACATAAAAACACCACCACATGGAACAAATTGGGGTTGGCCTCATGTCTACTATTAGCTAGCCTTTCTGGGCCCAACCTTCTTTTTAAAAACCAACTAATTGGACTAGATCAGAAGTGTGCGAACATTATTATAAAGGGCCAGATGTAAATATTTTAGGCTTTGTGAGCCATAGGGTCTCTGTTGTGACTATTCAATGCTGCTATTGTAGCATGAAAGCAGCTGTAGATGACCTGTAACAAATGGGCCTGGCTGTGTTCAAATTAACTTTTATTTACAAGAATGCTCATAACTAAAAATCAGATGGGCCAAGTTTAGGCTATTGCTGGACCCCTGGGCTAGCTGATGGCTATAGGTCCTTTCTGGCTAGGAAATGCTATAGATTCTTTGCATTCCACATTGATTTCAGCCTTGGAGAGTGGAGAAATTTCTTTGGATTTTACACATGTCTCCTTTCCTCCCCCACCATATATACTCCAAGAGGAGTATATAAAGGATGGCAATAGAAGTGGCCTGGAGAGGCACCAGGAGGGGTTCCCTACAATGTTCTGATTGAAATCACCCTGGGAGGAAGCCATTAAGTAAGGTGGGGAGAAAGGTTCCATTAATCAGAGATGGGAACTGCTGCTTTAGCTGGAGATCTGGCTATTAGCTCAGCAGGAAGACGTGGAAGACGAGATGGGGTGAGCTGCAAACACAGCTTTCCAAAAGGCAGAATGCTGAAAAATTCTCTTTAGAACAAAATTTTTATGTCCTTCCTTAGGATCCAAGGCATAGTCAAGAATGACATTTTGATTGTTTTGGGAAACACAATCTAACATAGCATCGAACAATCTAAGAAGCATCACAGTCAAACACAATTTAAACATAGACTGAAGAAATATATATCGGGTCTAGTAATAATTAATGTCGTTTTTAAACATTCGTTTAAAATCTTGCTTGGCGTTGACTTGTATTGACATAACCTTCAAACACGTGGTATCTGCAGAACGTGTGAAGTGCAATTAACAAGTTTTGCTTGAAAAAGTTTGTGTTTGGTTTGGTTTTTGTTGCAAAACTAGGGCTAAGAAGATGGCGGATGAAGAGCATATTCGGCACTGCATGCTTTACGAGTTCCAATTAGGAAGAAAAGCAAGTGAGGCTGCAAAAAACATCTGTAGTGCT